AGGTTTTGGACTAGGGCCTCCAACGCCGTAGCATGCTGTGAGGGACTAAGGGCACGCTGTTGAAGATAAGACGATCGAATTCTGAGTTTGTTGTTCCTACGTTGCTGTTCAATGCAACATTTGGTTGTTCACAAGGAAAATTGACAGCCGGAAGCTGAACAAGACAGGTCAACTAAGTGTTCAGCCCCGTTTACAAAGCCAAGCACCTCAATCCGTGCCGGGGAAACCGGACACAATCCCCCACACACACCCACCCGCCCACACCCACCCACACGCACACACACACACACAGACACACACACACACATGCGGGGGCACACTTTAGCACTCAGTCACTTACTTTTCGTCTTGCTTGCCTATCACACAACTAGACTCAGTCGGCCTTCCTCCGAGGCTGGATAGTATTTGTTCTTGTTTGCACCGAGAACCGGACTTGGTTCATGCTGGTCTACAATGAATCATGTTCATGTCGCGCGTGTGCGTGTGTGTGTGTGTTGCTGTTTGTGGTTGTGTTTGCGTGTATGTGCGCGCAATTTCAGTGTCGACATGTTCAACTTGGGTTCAGGGTCTCGAGTAGTTTTGAACTTTGACCCGTCTGCTGTTGTGTTCGTGTGCAGTCTCAGCCACTTCAGTCCCGACTCTAGCCGCATTTTCTGGGACTGTCCTCCGTGTTCCCTGTGGCAGCGATGCCTAATCCCAAAGGCAATGACCGTCATAATTGCTTTGCTTCATGGCTTCTGCACGCAAGCACATGTTAAAGGTGGTGAGAAGGACGGGTTTCTTCATCAGGTTCCCACACCATGGTCTGTGCCCTCTAACATGATCAGTGTTGCAAGGTGCCGCGAGCTGTAGCCAGCGTGGCGAGGCGGCCCCTCAGTTCGTGCCTTGTCAGTCAGGAGGCTGAGGGGGTCCAAAGGGTGGTTCGAGGAAATCACTGTTTCTGCTGCATCTGTTTGTTTTCGGGGCGCGGGAGTCAACAGAGACCATATCAATATGGTTTCACTACCACGAGAAAACGACTTGGTGGTGGTGTAGCAAAACATAGCTACCTTGTGTACCGTTGCATGATCACGAAAAGAGGCGTCCTAACTATCGTAAACTACGGTAGGCCTCTGCGTTGGTTGTGTTTTGTTATCTTAACTACGACGCCTTCTATCTTTCAAAAAGCCTCTGTAGAAGCCCTAGAGGGACCTGGCGGACAAAGAGCCCTGCTGATCCCTGCTGCAGATCTTTAGTTGCCCGCGTGCTGCAGACGCCCCGGGTCCGACGTGTTTGTAGGTTGGACTGTATTGCAGACTAAACTGGTCAAATGCAGACTTTACCAGGGAAGCACAAGGTCCCGTTCGAGGTTCATGGTGGGATGTTACCCGGGCAGTTCTGTCTGTTCCTTTCCTTCATCGGGGTGTCAATGCGGCAGAGTACGTTTCAACAAATTCCTGTGAAAGCGCACGCCCCGAGAGCTGTAAACCCTCAATCTGCACCTTCTGGAGGCAACACCCTAAGCGATGCCATTGCAGAACAAGCTCGGAAACAGGCGTGGCGACTGGTAGTGCCAGAACTGCGTGCGACATCTGCCAAGGACCTGTGCCGGAGTGCTGTCCCAATCTGGCATATAGGGCTTAATGAGAAGTTCAGGACTGTGGTGGTTTAGGAGCTCGGGAGCAAGGGCTTGTTTATCAAGCACGGCTGCCAGCAGTGGGTTTGCTTGTCCGCTGTCTTTGTTGGATTGAGGATAAATACGGAGGACACGGTTCCTGAACTTGTCCATGCCAATCCTGATTTACAATGGTTTGGTGGTGGATACTATGCAGGTTTTTGGAGTCTTGATCGGAGAACTATAAGTTCTGGAGCTAGGACAAAAGGTCTTTGCACAAGCGGAGAGTCGGATAGTCTGTTGTTGAGGACTGTCGTGCATCGGGCGGTTCAGATGCATGGCCGGAGACCGAGCAGCGCTGGTCGATTTGTGTGATGTTGAAACAAGTAACATGCAAGTAACGAAAGCTAAGCTGCAGTGGTGCTCGGGCTACAAGCGGCTTGCTGTCTTTGGTTGACTGCTGAGCTCCATAATTATCTGGGGACATGTTCTGCAGCAGTCATGGGGCCTCGAGACCATGAGCCCTTTCAGGCATATCCTCCCAAAAAAATGCACGTGATGCATCTGCAAAACCTTCGTCTTAAATCGTGAAGCTTATTTTTTTGAATCCGGCATGTGTAAAGTGTCTCACCTTCCCCATAGGTTCGCTTTCGCCCGGCCATAATATTTGTCATCAGTTGTTGGCACTGGAGGGATGGATCCTTGCGAGTCGGAGTAGGTGTGTTCCATTTGAGCTCCAAGTGTGTCTGGCTGCATCACCAGAGCAAAAGTGCTGGCAGGAATGGTATGTTTCTGGCCTAGATGCATTGCTACAACGGCGGTGTTGAAGCAGGGATGCTCGAAGGATCTCGCACGGATGACTTGTTGATGTGATTACAGTAAGTAGTAAGAATCCGTGTAGGAGCCGAGTCCGCCGATTCCCCGAAGGAAGCCTTTCGAATCTCCTCACCGCAGGCCGTGAGTCCTAACGGCACCAGTCTGCAACTCCGGTACCGATCTTTGTCGATACATATGATCCGTGGGCACAAACCCATGAATGTGAGCATGTTTTCCACATGGGTCCAGCCAAGCCGTGAATCGTCTAGTCCCCTCTAGGTACTTGAAGTGTGCATAAGTCCACAGATGCACCTTTAGTTGGTGCTAGAAAAAGCTCCGTAAACCACTGCGACACTCGACATCAGATGCAAAAACAACCCTAAAACATGTCTAGAATTGTCTAGATAAGCCCCTTATGTTCTATTTGCAAGTCCCATGGGAGTCTCCGGGATTAAAAGGGTGTTCTATACAGACCACAACGAACTAGGATCTCGATGCTAGGGACCCCTTTTATCCCCCACCACCACCACCAAAACAGCACAAGACATGCCAACTTTCCGAGTACCAGGTCAAGTTCGGCCAGACGTTCTCTTGCCGGAGGCTGAAAGAAGCACTGTTCGACCACCGTTCCCGATTCATTGGGTTGGGCTTCGGGGAGTTGTAGGCTTTTTGTTTCTTAGTGAATGAGAGAGCTTTGGTTGAGGATTTAGGGATGCGGTTTCCAAAATTGGGAGGGTTGTGGTTAAAAAGCAGAGTTTCCCATTTAAATTCCCAAATTTCCACCGGCTTTAGAGAAAGCTCTTTGGGTGCTTTTGTATTGGGTCGGTAGGTTTGCCGGGTTTTAACACAGTCATATTCACCACAACGGCCCGACTCATAGGCGTAAGCAGTCCAAAGGTAAGTTCGGTTTCAGGCTTTGGCCGCGTTTTCGGTGTCCTAGGGCCTTTTGAGCTGCGGGTGGGAGGCTCGCCGGCTCCGGACCTTTCTAACCTTTATAGTCCCGAAATGCTCCCGCCCTGGCCCTTCGCACCCTAGATCTCAGTTCTGGTCAACTTCCTTCGAAATTGAAACGCTGCTCCCTTCGTGGAAACGACGACGACACCCCCTCGCACACCCCAAACCCCAAAGCCTATAAATCCCCAGCTCCGAAGCCTATGACCCTAAACTACCCTAAACGGCTTCAACGTCTCAAGCTCCTGCAAGCTTGCCAAGCCGGAGTGAGAAGGAAAAAGTCTGAGGCCAAGTCAGTGAGAGTCATCGGACTGGCTTATCCCTTCACTAAATCATGGAATTTTCCATGGGTCCGCAGAAGATCTCCCATGATACAGCATTATGGTTTGTACCGGAAGTCAGCTTCGCGAGCAATAACAAAAATGCGACACCAGACCCTGGTATTGTGGCAAATTTGTAGGCCCGATGCATCATCCGGGCAGGCGACGGTGCACATCGTGGCCTGGGCGCCGGGCCCCCACAAGACTGGGCGTCCAAGGCTCTAGGCAGGCTCCGAGCGAAGCTGATCTTGCACGCAAGAAGATATAGATGGATTGGCCGTAAACACTAAACCCTAGCTAAGCGCGACCTAGTCAACGAAGAGGGTGGGGAAATCAAGGACCCAGCATTCTAGCGGCAAAGCTACGCAACAGCTCGACCCTGTCACTGTTGTGTGCCAACAGGCACTAAACATGTCTGTGCAGCAAACAAAACTGTGCATGCGTCTCGTACTGCATTTTCATGGTTCGATCCCAAACGAGTTTCCTTCTGTGACAGGGGTTGCCTTGTTTCTGGTCGTCATTGTGATGACAGTTGTAGTGTTATGAGCGACCTTGCCGTTCTGTTTGGGAAGGCAGCAGGTTCGGCTTAGGAAGAGAGTAGCTAGCGCCTGCCTCCTGAGACTGTATACCGGCCCAAACTCTGAGACAACACCGCCGAAAGTCCGACTCAGGCAAGTGGCCCACTCCTCACGGAGAGGGAGGCGCGGGCTGTCGCAATGAGGGTAGGTGCACGCACATCTGTCGTCTCTGGTCCGTGGCACTTCCTTTGCTTGCTGGGGGAGGAACGTCTGGAAGTAAGCGCCCGATGCATGGATTCCACATCAAACAGAAGCTGCCAACCTTCTATGCATGCAGGTGCTGGGAAATCGTATCCGTGGCGAGGACCGTGTGCCAGGTAGAAGATACATAGTTGATCTTGTCGCTTCAGCCACGAGCCGCTTCAACAGCCTCTGAATCTTAAAGCTGAAGCCTCACACCTGCGCAGCTCCTGCCCGGCATGTCTCAGAAGAGCAGGGCAGAAAGATTTGCATTTTTTGTTCCCCGAAGCAAAGAGAGAGCGAGGTTCGAAGGCTTGCGCAGGGTTTCAATTCAAGAGACTTTGCCTTTTCTCAGCACTCCATTTGTTTGTGTGTTTCTACCGCAGCCGTTGCACGCCATGCCGGCGGAGATCTCCACAGCATTCCACAGCCGTGGGTCACAGCACAAAAGATCGTAGTTTTTAGTGAAGCATCCTCCTCCGGTCTATATGGTTGTTAAGCCAACAAAATCTCTTAGTCATTCTAGAGCTTGCAAAGGGCATCCCCTGCAGTGGACGGAGAATGATGCTTCCAGCATGCTTGCAAAAGCGCTGGAAGCAGCCCTGGCCGAAGACTGCCCGTGTAGTGCCTGCAGGCACGCTGCTCTGCGCAGTAAACGAGCGTGCTTCCAACAAGTGTTTCGAGCCAATATTCTTTGATGACGCAACTGGGTGGCGTACGTATTCCTTCATGGATTTCTGTTTTTACTGTCGGCCTGACTTGTCTTGCCTTTTCTGTGGGAACTGAGGAAATGCTCGGCGTGCTTCCCGCAGACGCAGAGGTTCCCGATTGTCCCAACGACTCGAGCCCCGGCACGCCGGCAGTACAGAGGCCACCAGAGACTAATTCGAAGAGCAACAGAAGTTCTTGCAATCTCCTAGATTCAGCGGAGACTTTGCAGCGCGAGCGGGCTCTCGTGGAACTGGAAGAGTTCAACAGGACACTGGTGGCTACCCGTGCTTCAATGCAGGGTGTTTCTTCAGAGCTGGCAGCTTTTCTTTCGAGTACCGAGCACGATCTGGTCGAGGCTCGTATCGGCTTCCGAGCCGCCACATCCAAGGTTCAAGAGCTGCAGGAAGGCATGTGCGACTTGCAGAAACAGGTTGTCCTGAAAGAGAAGGACGCGCATCGGTGGGAAACGGAGTGCCGCAGGCTGTCCCAGAAACTCCGTTCTCTCGAGGAGATGCTGGCTGCTCAGCGTGGTGAGCTTATGGCCTCTGAGGTGGCGAACTGATTCATCACAGCGGGAGGGTGGGGAGTAAATATGCGTAATATAAACTATTTTGTATGATTTGATTTAAGTCTGTATTTTATCGTTTCGCATTTATGGTTTGTCACGCTTGCCGTTTCAGGTTTACGAAACATTTATAAAATATTCAGGTTTTTGCTTATGTTTGTTATTGTTTTTTGTTCTTATGATGTTCGCTGCCTGGCCCTAGCCTGATCTTGGGAAAGTATGGTGTTGCTAGGGAAATCCTATGAAAACCCATACAAAATCCAGTAGTTTCTCAAGGAAACGTAAGATTTTCTTATGATGTTGCTAGAAGTTCCTAGCAAATTCATACAAGATCCATGAGTTTTGTAGGAAAACCTAAGATTTTCCTAGGAAATCGCTAGCCAAATCATAGACGAAAAACGTAAGATATTTACACAATTTCCATAAAAAAAATATGGGGAATGTATGATTTGTTTTCATTTTCGCTGCTGCATAATATTAAATAGCACATCAACGCCATAGCAGAAAGAAACAATCATAAAGAAGAACAGAGAAAACATACATAAAACCAGAGTAAACAAAACCGTAAACAAAGCATAAAAACATAAAAAATAACATAAATGCAACACCACAGAAAACGGGGATCGTAAATAAAACGTAAATGCAAAACGAAAAAGAAACGCAAATAAATCATTAAAGAAATTAATCAAGGGTTCATCCATTAAACAGCAAAAGATGTCCCAATGTTTTTGACATATATATATACATATATGCTAGCCCCCCCACCCAATTGACCAACTCTGGCTTCTCACATGACGCATGCTCAAGACAGTCTCTTCACAAGCAAACGCATCAAGCACACTGCTTTCGCAGTGACCTGTACAACACGTATTCGTCTTCTTCTAAAAGCTCATCACCGTTGGATGTGATTTTGTAGACCAAGCCACGGTAGCATTCGACCCTATCACCTGAGGATAATTAAAAGAATTTTACGCTCGGAAAGAAGTGATCAATAAGACAAAGTCTTCCCGGAAAAAAATGTTGAATATATGGCAGCAGCCGTTCGGTGGCATGTAGCCGATCAGCACTGGATGGTCCACTGGCGCGGTCGGGAGGCTGGTGTCATCCGGCGAGAATTTCAACCACGTCATTGCGAGCGTAATAAGACCAGAAGGACAACACAAGGTTCACAGCAGCCTATTCAACTACGGGGATAATATCAAGGCTTTGCTTTGCGTGTGCGACTACATACAGCATGCTGTCGCCTTCTCTTGTGCAATACCTCTCACAACATCTCTCTCGTGTCTTCCATCAGATAAGCAGAAAACCCCACCGTATCAGTAATTGAAAAAATTGAGTTCCCGCCTCCCCCCTCACCACATCATCCGGCTCAA